AGTAATTCAAAACAATTCAATTCACATTTATTTCATTCTCGGTTAAAGACTACATTGATACAAAAGATACGAAACAATTCATAAACAAATTTAGAAAATAAAATGGGGAACTACATAAATGAAGCCTTAGGCCTTGTACGAGCGTAGCTCCCAATGCATTCATAGCATAATGTAAAGCAAAGATAACAAACAAACAACAAAACAAAATACCAACCAAAATTGAAAATATTCATACACTCAATTTATAAAAGCCCAAAGTATCAAACTGGCTTAAAAGTAATAAACTATCTCTTAGTATTTAAAAAACGAACTTCATACACTTAAAACCTGCCTACCTCAGAGTTTCCATATTGATAATATAGCGTTAGAACGTAAGAAATATACAGCATTTTTAGGTACATGACTTTGTGTATCCATATTGATGAACATCCTTATTGCAAGAACTAATCTACGGTCATGTTCACAATTAAACATCGTGTCTACTCTTTCTTATTTTTTTTTTATCTTGATAAGTTTTATTAGTCAGAAAACACAACGATTTACAAAATATGCGTTACATCAGTTTTGCAGAAAAATAATGAATAATCATATTGTTTCACACTTACAATCTTGTGGTTTCACATTTTAGTGTAACATTAAAAAACATAGCATGATACTTCTGTATACCCCGGTCGTACAGACGATACGACCACCAGACCGACACTAAGTGGAAAGAGAGAGGCCAAGAAGTACTCTTTCTTATGGTCATCGCTCTTTTTTCAAAGCTTCTGCTGAAATTTGGAAGAAACTACACTGTACCTTTACATGCCAAAAACTGTCAGACTGTCAACCAATCCAAAACTTGTCTTAAGACACATTTATTAAAAATTGCTTTTGATGATTAACTCACTCTATTCACATCGATGTTTATTTCATATGTATTGTAATTTGTAGGTTTATTTGTAATTTTCTTGTTTTGTTTAATATGTAATTGTTTATTATTGTATTTTGTTTGTTTTAGCGCTTAGGGACTTCGGTGGTAAGCACTTTATAAGCACCATTTTTATTATTAGTATTAGCATCTGGACTCGAATGTACACGTATGACATATATACATGAATTTCTAGGAATATTGGAATACTTTATTGGACAAAAAAAGTTATCTTCTTAAAAAATCCCTTTAATGCTATATAACTCGCTCATCTTGCCATTCATCTCATATTGTAACTTGGTTTGGGCTTCAAGTGCAAATACAAAAATTAACCCTTTTTATACAATGCAAAAGAAAGCGCTCCACGTTTGTGCTGGCTCCCATTATTTAGCCCATACCAGCCCATTATATAATGAATTTAATACATTGACAATATTTGATTTAAAACGCAGAACAGAGTTTGATCTTCATGTTTTAAATACATTAATAACCTTGGGCCCGTTTCTCGAAACCGTCAAAAGTCTAACTACTTGACTTAATCAGTGTTACTATTAAGCTACTTAATTGTCCGCTACTTCACGAAGCCCTCTTTGCCAAGATCAAGGACAAGTTCACGGTTGCAGTCTGAGCATGAGCAGATAAAGGTCATTGCAGAACAAATTTTGAAATACACGGAGACGTAATACTGGATGCGTGCTCATGAAAGTTATGTGATCATTATTCATTCATGCACATTCAGTGCACTCCATGATACACAGGTGGAAGTATTCTTTGAAAAGGGGAAACAAAGGCTATCTATATATCGCTGTAGGAGTGATTTTATCAAAATGTACAAAGTGGGATGTCTTCATGTTTTGAAGATCTGTGGATATTCGGGGTCATTGCAGTGATGTGCTAACCGTGAACTGGTCTATTAGTATGACGCCTCCGACCTGTCATATCTATGTCATAACTTTTTAGTCGATGGGCAGCGCCATCACATGTCAATTATTGGGTAAACTATGGCTGGCGAAAAGGAAAAGAAATCCTACAGCTATGTTTTTTAGTATTTGAAAGTCTTATGAAAAAGTGCCATGTTTTTATTTAAGGCTTTTCCCGCTTCACTAAACTGATAATACGCGTTTATTTCTATCCTCGAAAGGATGGGTAATCTGCCACGACAGGCAAGTCATATTTTGAAGTTATTCTTTAGTTTTCAGACCCATTTTAATTTCGAGATAAATTTTATCTTCGAATGTGTAGACTAAATAGCTTAAAAAATGTGTTTTAACGTTTGGAATATTAGAGTATCGTCATTAAGTTTAAAATTGTGCTGAAGCCTTAAACATTTGACTAAACTTTCATAACATCGATACGAATAATATAATGGTGTATTTTTATGGACTATCAATTGAAAGTATACCCATCTCAAACAACAAAACTGTTTCACTGGTCATGAAATGATATACTCACAATTATATTTTACAAGTAAATGTACGGTATAATCTACACAAATTTTGAAGTATATTGCATCTCTTATTTCCTAGAACTATTTTCAATCTTTATTTGTTAGTCCCTCATTCATTTAGATAATTGCAGTTTTCTTTAAACTACTCTTTTGTAATCCGGTGGAATTGCGACTACGCCATGTTTTGGCTCCTCTTCTCACCGAAAGTATCGATTTCACGATGAAACGATTTAGGAAGATCAGAGACATCTCCGTATTTGGCGGATAAATTTATGACTATCTTGTCGTTGGTTTCGAGAAAATTTGTTGCATTAAATACACTATCCATTCGTAACCTACTCGGATTTGATCTAATTTTTCCTTTGATGCAATATAACTAGAGACCTGTCTACTAGTTCCGATCGGTATTTGGCCAACTTCGGTCTGCAGATTTTGTAAAGAGAACAAAGCCTTTGGTTTCAATTGGCCCGGCGGAGTTTTAGAATAATTAATACTGTAGGGGCATAGATTTGTAGAGATAGGGGATGGGGGGGGGGGGTATTCTTGCATGAATATGATGAATGTTCTACAATTGTGTCTCGATTAGATTCATTTATAATCAAGGATGATTTATATATATATATATATATATATATATATATATATATAATTTTTTTTTTTAGGGGGGGGGGGGGGGGGCGCTTGATTGAGCCAAAGAGCAACAACCGCTACAGCAATTGGTACCTTTAGTCTGTAGTTATAAGTGGGGGAGGGAAGATGGGTGATATCCAGACAGAAGGCCCATCGACATCTCTAGAACAGATGGGGGGGGGGGATGAAGGAGGGGAAGGGTGGTTTCAGACCAAAAGCCAATCTTCAAAGGCCATTCATGTAGATTTAAACCTAAATGAGTCTTATCTGAAGCCACGAGCCTGTCCTAAAATAGTAACCCCATTTTACCCATAATGTTACACCCTATTCAGAGCGGTCTGTTTACAGGCTTATGACTTCGAAGGTGCAATAAAAAATGGATGATTTCAATATCAATTGCCTGGTTACGCGTGTACTAAAAGACGCAACCTCCGCATTTGGCAATCAGTAATAGCAGAATAGAATATAAAATTCATGATGATATCAAATATTTATTGTTTGAAAAGGCGTTGTAAAAAACGTAGCAATATCCCCAATACCACGCTTTGTTTTACGCCTAATGCGGCTCGGAAAATATAATTGTGTACCCATTATTGACGACAGAGTACAGTATCGCCAACATTCACATAATATCAGTCCAATACCTGTTTTGAAGTATGAATATCTAATTATGGGTCTCATAATATGTCTTGATAGAGTTATCCTCCCAGTACATTTAGATACCATTTTTTAATCCCTTCACGCATGACTTAACATCAGACAATCTTTACAAGACTGCCATATTTCACTTGCGCCAACTTACTGGGTGAGGAATAAAACAGTGCATTGAACAAACACAGTCAGACAGTCACACACACCAACACACACACACACATACACACACACACACACGCACGCACACGCACACACACTCGCACACATACACATATAAACACACACACACACACATACACACGCACCACACTCACACACACAAACATAGACAACACACACGGTTACAATTGTCTGATTTTTAGAGTGTCCATTTTCTGATTAAGCATTGATATTTATCAAGATCCCTGAATGTTTAAGTGGCATTTCCCTGACAATATTTCCATTTAGTACACATTCACTACCCCCATCATATCATCATCATTGTCATCATCTTAATCATCATCATCATCATCATCATCATCACAAAGTGCACATGAATCCTCTCGACTTCTTCTTGTGGGGGCACTTGAAGTCAAGGATCTTCAGCAGCCTACCTGTGAAAATCGAGGAGCTTCGGAGGAGAATCGTGGAAGAGACAGAAGTGGTACGCCAAGATGGGGACATGATCCGGCGACCTTTTCAAGGAATGCTTCACCGTGCACAACTGTGCATCAGGAGGAATGGCGGCCATGTCGAGGATTGATCATGAGTACGGAGGATGGAGAACTTTCGGGAAACAGATTCATTGTTGTACCACAATAAAATACCTCAACAACCGACGTTTGCGGTATTTGTGTGTGAGTGTGTGCCTGAGTGTGCGTGTGTGCGCGCGCGCGCTTGTGTATGCGTGTATCGCATTTATATAATTAGCTGAGTCATTTTGATTAACAAAACTCTGAATGTGGCCACGTAATGCAGTCCCTTCGCTCGTTGGCATATGACCCGGACTTAATTTGGGTGACTGGAAGTAGGGACTTATTGATTTGCACGTCGACATATAGTGGACTGCTATCTGTGACGTCCTTTTAATTCAAGGACGTCACACGTAGCAGTCCACTATGTCGACGTGCATATCTAAAAGTCCCTGACATCTCTGACGTCGAGCGAGCCTTTTGTGTCAGTGCGAGACGTCGTGATGGAAATTTCCTTCATCGATTGCAAAAGGCGTATAATTAGAAAGCTAGCTCGGCGCGCTCCACGATACATGCAATACGGATCGCAATAGTTATTGCACATATATCATACGTTACAAAATACGTTTCGTACGAGTTGAGAGTTTGTGATTTTAAAGGCAAAGAGGTTACCTTTCGATCAGTAATTATGACGCGAATCACCGCAGGAATCCTAGGTGAGACACACCTTATTCTGTTTCTATTAAGATATTACCATATTACCCGAGGATTAACTAAGACCATTTGATTCCAAATGTTATTTTCGTTTTCTTATACACAGTAGTGCTTTGCCATGAGGTTATCGACTGTCATGTTTTAAAATATGTTTTTCCAATTCCAACTATCTTGGTTTGTGTTGGAATTCCGTCTTCAAATGTGAAGTGGATAAAAATGATATTGACCGCATCAGTTATTTTGTGAATAGGGCCTTTTAGATTCGCACGCAGACAATGTGGAATGCTACGGTCGACGTCCTTTTCATGCACTGCCTTGAATGGACGTCATCCGTATTAGTCCACGCAAATCTAAAAGTCTCCATTGTCGCGTTGGAAAAATTGATACCGCAGTAAAGCTGCATATATATCGATCAGATCAGATGGTCTTTATATGCGGGATGTTTAAACAAAAATTAACGATATTTTGATTGGCAACAACTCAAAAAGTATCCGTAATAAAATGTTGTAGTCAACAATGCTGTAGCAGTACTCGGTGTGAATCTTTACGAGAATGTATGCTACAACTACAAAGTTATGACTGTTTTTGCAAAAAGTACCCTTTTCGAAAGTGTGTACATGTATATAAAGGGCGCTGCTCAGCGGCGACCAGTTAGCGTTCTTGTTTTTGTACTCAAAAAGTGTGTTAATTTTCTGTTTTTGTAGGTTCACGTCTCACCTTGTTCTTCGTTATCCTCCTCAGTGTGTCTGTACACGTCTGGTGTGTGTGATGTATGGTGGCTCCTAAGGGACACGCAAACGCAAAATTTGACGTATACCTATGCAACAAATTTGTGGATTTTCACGTCAAAGACGTGAAAATCCACAAATTTGACGTATACCTTTGCTTGGTAATTTTTTCGTTTTTCGTTACTCAATGGCCCTGAAGGGACACGCAGACAAAACAAATCTGCGTCCGATATTCATGTCTGCGTCTCCCAAAAGGGACACGCAGACGTGAATATTGGATGCAGATTTTTTTTTTTACGTCTTGGTATGGTGGCTCCTAACTCCTAAGGGACACGCAAACGCAAAATTTGACGTATACCTATATGCAACAAATTTGTGGATTTTTACGTCAAAGACGTGAAAATCCACAAATTTGACGTATACCTTTGCTTGGTAATTTTTTCGTTTTTCGTTACTCAATGGCCCTGAAGGGACACGCAGACAAAACAAATCTGCGTCCGATATTCATGTCTGCGTTTCCCAAAAGGGACACGCAGACGTGAATATTGGATGCAGATTTTGTTTTTTCACGTCTTGGACGTAAAAAGATAATATACGTCTGCGTCGGCCCAAAAGGGACACGCAGACGCGAATATTGGACGCGAAATTTTTTCAGTAAGCTGAGCACCATGAAGATAAGCGCACATGGGTTTGTCAGCCCCTAGTTACTGATAAAGGGATAACCAGCTGGTATCTTATACTCAGTCCAGATTCACAGTTTTCTAATTGCAGACCCTACACCTATACTTATTCAGTGTAGTTTGCAGGCACAAACCCTGGTCAGTCGTGAAAGAGAGTCTGCACTATAAGACTACCACAGGCTATGTACTATAGCCTGACACAACCTGTACGTAGCTGGGCTAGGCTTCTCTCAAGGCACAATGATTTTTTTTGGATAAAGTGTCAAATTAGGGTTTGTGCTTGCAGACTATTTTCAGAGACAGATTGGGAGAGAGAAACATTAAAAGAGGAAAGAGAGAGGGTATAAACAGATTGGGAGAGAGAAGGGAGAGACAGATTGGGAGAGAGAAGCGAGAAAGAAAAGAGTGAAATAGAGGAGTGAGAGAAAGGGGAAAAAAGAAGGTGAAGATATGATATGTTAATAGAGAGCAGTAGAGTATGTACGTGGCTCCTAAACATCATGTCTACAATTTCAATTCAGACAAAATATATAGACAACAAAATTACAAAGAAATACAAATACATTGAATTTAGCTCAAATTGTTGATTTTCTTCTTCTCTCATTACCAAGCAATTACTTCTTTTTGTGCATCTTGTTGCCATTTGCCCCCCCCCCCCCTCCTATCACACCCTTTTATTCTCTGTGTATTTCTTTCCATCTCTCTCTCTCTCCTCTGTCTCCTAATGTCCCACCACTCTCTCTCCCCTTCTCTCGGTCTTTTCCTCCTTTCTCCCTCCCAATCTGTCTCTCCACTCTCGCTCTTCTCTTTCTATCCCAATCTCTCTATTTCTCTCTCCCAATGTCCCTTTCTTTCTCTCACTCCTCTTTATCGTTTCTCTCTCCCAATCTCTCTCTCCCTTCTCTCTCTCCCAATCCGTTTATCCTCCCTCTCTCTCTCTCTCTCTCTCTCTCTCTCTCTCTCGGTCTTTTCCTCCTTTCTCCCTCTCAATCTGTCTTCCCCTCTGTCTCCTCTTTCTATCCCAATCTGTCTGCCCCTCTCTATTTCTCTCTCCCAATGTCCCCTTCTCTCTTTCACTCCTCTTTATCGTTTCTCTCTCCCAATCTGTCTCTCCCTTCTCTCTCTCCCAATCTGTTTAACCTCCCTCTCTCTCTCTCTCTCTCTCTCTCTCTCTCTCTCTCGGTCTTTTCCTCCTTTCTCCCTCCCAATCTGTCTTCCCCTCTCTCTCCTCTTTCTATCCCAATCTGTCTGCCCCTCTCTATTTCTCTCTCCCAATGTCCCCTTCTCTCTCTCGCTCCTCTTTATCGTTTCTTTCTCCCAATCTGTCTCTCCCTTCTCTCTCCCAATCTCTAACCCTATGGTTTATCCTCTCTCTCTCTCTCTCTCTCCTCTTTCAACGTTTCTCTCTCCCAATCTGTCTCTCCCCTCTCTCCTTTTTTATTTTCTCTCTCTCTAGCTCTCTCTGTCGAATTTCGAATACACATAGTACAGAAAGAATGGGAAGGATCGAAGGATAGGAGAGATAGAGAGAGAGATGGAAAGAAATAGAGAGAGAGAATAAAAGGATTTGATAGGAGGGGGGGGGGGCAAATGGTAACAAGATGCACAAAAAGAAATAATTGCTTGGTACAGGCAAAATATGTTTACAAATTTCAAAGCGTAATGTATAGGCCTTCTACAGTATATATCAATTTTAGTCCATGAAATAGAATGAAGTGGTGTACAATTAATGTCGAGATAACGCTGTTTAAAACATAGCAGAACAAACCCATATACGCTTATCTTCCTGGTGCTCAGCTTACTGAAAAAAAATCACGTCAAATATTCACGTCTGCGTTTCCTTTTTGGGAGACGCAGACGTGAACTTTGGAAGCAGATTAAGTTCCAGCAGATTTTCACGTCTGCGTGTCCCTTTCAGGCGACGCAGACGTGAATATTGGACGCAGATTTTCCAGCAGATTTTTATGTCTGCGTGTCCCTTCAGGGCCATTGAGAACAGAAAAACGAAAAATTACCAAGCAAAGGTATACGACAATTTTGTGGATTTTCACGTCTTTGACGTAAAAATCCACAAATTTGTTGCATAGGTATACGTCAAATTTGTGGATTTTCACGTCTTTGACGCAAAAATCCACAAATTTGTTGTATAGGTATACGTCAAATTCGTGGATTTTCACGTCTTTGACGTGAAAATCCACAAATTTGTTGCATAGGTATACGTCAAATTTTGCGTTTGCGTGTCCCTTAGGAGCCACCATATGAATGTAATGGTCAGGGAAACTGGATCTCATATGAACCCCAGTTCATGTATAAGCTCAACACAGTGGATCCTCCGGTGTTCCGACCGCCTGATCTACCGACCTAGGTACCCCTGCGAGGAAGATGAAAACGTCAGGTGTGCACCGAACCATAGGCTACGTAAACAAGGGAAGAAAGGTGGCGTTAGGCAACGCGTTCGTCGCTTACCGACTATCACTAGGGACTTTTAGATTTGCACGTTAACAGCTTTGACTGCAACGTGTGACGTCATTTTAAGGCACTGCGCATGCGTTACGTCGTCTCAGTCGGCGATCGAGAATGCGTCAACCTTGATTTTCCTAAATCTTGTACATACACATACATACATATTGATATTTATATAGCGCCTTTACATGCTCAATGTACTAGTATGCCGCGTGCGCATAAAATATACAGTTCCTCAGGTAGACAAAGGAACATCCCTTCCCTGCTATGTAAAAATGTGTAGAACAGGTGTCACATGCATATTCACCTGTTCTATACATGTTTACATATTAATAGCAGTGAAGGGATGTTCTTTTGTTGAAGGTAGAATGAGGAACTGTATATTTTGTCCTCTTTCTTTGTCCGTGATGTTCATAGTGTTAATTCCTGCATGCATGTATATCGTCGAGTGCAATCTAAAAGATTTCTAATTGTAGTCAACATGGGCAGTTAAGTACGTTGACACGCATGATCAGTCGGCGTTCGTCGTGTTCTCGTCCACTCATTCTAAAAGTCCCTACTATGGCGAATCTCAGATCTATTTCTAACAAAATAAATGGGATAAGAGGCTTAGTGCGATATAATTGTGAATTCAGGGAGTCTCGTCTCTTAAGCAGGGCTCCGAGTTGGGGCCACGAGTTGTGGCGAGCTGGCTCGATCTTATGGCAAGCCGTTTTATCATTAAAACATATTTCTTGATATCAAGAAATCAATTCTTGGTATCAAGAAGTAATGTTACGTCGTAAAGCAATGGTAATTCTTAATATCAAGAATTCGATTTCGTGATATCAAGAAATATGTTTCAATGATAGAACGGCTTGCCATAAGATCGCGCCAGCTCGCCACAACTCGTGGCTCCAACTCGGCTAAGTTAGAGCCCTGCTTTATGCTTTACCGAAACATGGCGCACTCCATCTATCCCGAGCGACGCCATCGACATCGACGGCTTTCAGCTCATCCGATTGGATATATCACAGGCAACGCCACATAAGTCGAAATGCGGGGGGGGGGGGGTATCTATCTAAATGAATGAAAAGTGGTGTAGAAACTTTACTATCAGATCAAGTATCCGAACCAAATATTGAACTGCTATATTTATCATTAAGGCTATTCTACCTGCCCAAAATATTCCTCCTTCCAATAAACATTTTCGGATTTCCTTGGTCCAGCTAACCAGAGTTCTATATTTTTTACTCCGTCATATACACATGAAATTATAGACATCGTTTCAAACCTAGACAACAAGAAAAGTTCCGGCTACGATGACATCAATAATGTTATCCTTAAAGCCATTATTCCAATTGTAGTAGATCCCCTGGTTCATATATTTGATTTGTCTCTGTTACTTGGGCAAATTCCAAACTGTATGAAAAACGCAAAAGTCATTCCTTTATTAAAAAAGGGGACAAACTAAATGTAAACAACTATCGACCTATCTCCTGATTATCTTCTTTCTCTAAGATCTTGGAGAAAGTCATATATATTAGAACAGTTGCCTTCCTAAAAGATCAAAATGTTTTCTCCATTTTTCAATTTGGTTTTAGGGAAAAGCATAGTACCATTCATGCTTTATTATCTTTTGTGGAGAAAGTAGCTTATGCTATTGACAAATCCTCTCATATGGTTGGTATTTTCCTGGACTTCTCCAAGGCCTTTGACAAAATAGACCTTGATATATTACTTTATAAACTTTTCCATTACGGTGTACGTGGAAAGGCTTTGGAGTGGTTCAGGAACTATCTTTTGAATAGAAAGCAATATGTCTTTTTAAACGATTGTTCATCAGATTTATGTAATGTTAGCTGTGGCGTTTCACATGGGAGCCTCCTAGGGCCACTTTTATTTATTCTATATATATAAATGATTTCTGTAGGTCATCTTATATTTTATCGTTCATACTTTTTGCTGACGACACGAATCTGTTCTTTTTCCACAACAATCCACACACTCTTATGCAAACGGTTAATTCTGAACTATCAAAGATCCTACAATGGATTAGAGTAAACAAACTTTCACTTAATCTCAAAAAACGAATTATATGTTGTTCAGTAATACTATAGATTCACTGCCAAGCAACATTGTATTCGACGACGTCCCGTTGGAGAGTGTTTCTTTCACTAAATGTTTAGGCGTAACAGTCGACAATAGACTCTCCTGGAAGTACCACATTGACAACACCTGTAAAACTATTTTCCGTAATATTGGTGCCATGAATAGATTAACAACTCATCTCCCTTCATCTTCCTTACTTACACTTTTTTTTTCACTGGTCTTACCATATCTAAATTATTGACTCCTGGTGTGGGGGCAATACATACCTAACTTTGTTTAAAAATAAAGCTCTTCGTATCATTTGTCTTTCTCATTTTCGCTCTCATACGGATCCTCTTTTCTTTAAAAATAAAATATTGAAAGTTAAAGATCTTTATCTCTTTCAGTTAGGCTAGTTTATGTATTCTTATAATAACAACATCTTTCCTTTCGTTTTTGATGATATGTTCACCCTAAATAAATCCTCTCATAAGCACCAACTCGGCATTGTAATGACTTTCATTTACCTTTGCTGAGAACCCTTCTAGCTCAAAAAACGTTTATTTATACAGCCCTCAAATTTTGGAACTCTATTCATAATGACATTCAACTTGCCCCCTCTCTGAATTTATTTAAGAGGAAATTGAAATTGTTTCTTATACTTCCTTACAATACAAATGAATATCAGTGCATTGTCAAATCATTTCTTGCCTTCCTTTCCTTCCCGTCACATCTTTTTTAACGCTCTGTATGTATATTACTATATTCAAGGAGGATCCTCCTTGCTATAATTATGGTCACTACCGCTGCATTATGCCCATCGTGCACCCCCACTCTCTCTTTCTCTCTCGTTTCTTCTCTTCTCCACCTCTCCTCTCTTTTTCTTTACTCATCACATATGCAGCAACATCTTCTATTCTTCCAGTTCTCCTTTTTTTTCTTGCTTTATTTTCTGCTGTCTTATATATATATTTTTTTAATTATTAATATTTATGTCTTATCTGTCAGTCGTCATTGTCTCTTTTGACCTTTCAAGTGCTCACTATACTTTATCGTAACAAGTTTTCAAATTACGGATTTATAATTGCATTATTATTCTGCCACTTTTTGGTAATCTCTGTTCATATATGTTTTTTGAAGTCGATATATTTACATGTTACACAAATAATGTTTGTCATTATTTTAAGGGATCCACATTTTACAAGCTCTGCTTTTCAGTGGATCCCTCCATTTCAACAGGTTTATCTTTAAAAAAAAAAATAATTAAAACCCCAATATACTGGATAATTATGTATACTTTCTATTTCACAACTTTAAAGGTACTATGTCCCATTTGCAGGCCCAATAAATGAAAAGGTTAAAGTCCAACGGCATTTGAAAGTTAATACTAATTAAGAATTTCCCTAAAAAAGAAGGGGCTTGAAAAGCGACTATTATATGTCGAATCGACTTAGGAGCTATAGAGCCAGTAAGTAATAGTTTGATTTTTCAAACCATTGTACCGAATGGTTGTACGTTTTATGCTGCGCAAAGATTCAATCAGTTTTTATTTTGGCCATTACAAGAAGTGGGTTATTGATATAGACAAAATTTATGCTCATGTATCCTTTACAGCTCATTTTATGTATGTTATTACCAAATAAGGAAAAAAAGCCAGTCAGTCACTCAATAGTGTCTGACAGTGAAGTCTAGCAAGTAAACGGGTTTCCTTGCATAACTTGAATATTAGGACACTGCTAACGTTTAAATTTCACAGATAGGACATACATGACATATTCATTATTCCTGCAAAGTACTACAGAATTTAATGTTAGCTGCAAAAGGGACATATTATGTTTAAACCATGTAACATGTATTATATTATTGAATGTTGAATTGTATATCTGATTTCTTGTCATAATTACTGTTCTGTTGGAAATGAAAAATAAAACTGAAACTGAAACTGAAACGTCCCACGTGAGTTTGGACAAGTCCATATTCTGCTCGTACATGCCCTCCCAATGGAGATGCAAAGAGCGCATCAGCTACGATTTCGGACACGGTCGACTCCTTAGCAACGACATCCCCTGACGCATCTATCAAGCTGCTAGGGGACTTCAACCACCGTCGCCTGCAGAATACCCTACCGAACTATCATCAAGTTGTCGACTGCGCAACACGAGGAAACAACTTCATGGATAGGTGCTACTGCTCCATACGGGACGCCTATGAGGTTAACGTACGCCATGGTAATGGCAAGTCGGATCACAATATCATGCATCTCCTACCGAAATATAAGCACTTGATCAAAAGGGAGAAGGTTCAGATAAAAACAAATCAACTTACTTAATCAACTACTTATCTCTAGCGCTTTAAACTTGGATGAAGCAGTCGAAATTGCCGACGGTTATATCTTATTCTGTAAAGATTTACACATTACGGATAAAGAGATAAAGGTATTTCCAAACCAAAAACCATGGGTTAGGAATAATTTGAAGGATTTGTTTGTGCAAAGAAACAGGGCCTTTTCAAATCAGGATGATGATGAACTCAGGGACATTAATCTTAATATTCAGGAAAAAATGGTGATGGGAAAGAAAAATATAGAGAACAGTTAGAGAGTAAATTCAGATCTGATTATCCACGTGAAGTTTGGAAGTGTACGCAAATGATGACAGGTTATAAAAAGAAGCAGAAACCCCCACCAGTGTCAGAATCTAGACCGTTCATGATACAGTCAATGAATTCAATACGTTTTATGCAAGATTTGACGACAATTGTTTTGATGCCGAAAGTATTAGGATTGTAAACACTTTGAAAAAATCCAATGATACACCAATTGTATATCAGCACAATTATGTTGTCATGTACTTCAAATGCACTAATCCAAGAAGATGTATGGGACCGAACAGTATTTTTTGGAAAGTACTCAAAACATGTGCCTGGCAATGAGCCACCCTTTTGTCACTCTTTTTGAAGAATCTTAGGACCAAAACCAAGTCCCATTGTGCTGGAAATCATCATCAATAATACCAGCAGCCAAAACAGTATCTGAACCCAATGACTACCGGCCCATATCCCTCACCTCATTGGTCATGAAATGTTTTGAACGCATAATTCTTCAGAAGTACATTCTCCCACAGAGCGGCCTGGCAAAGATCCTTTACAATTTGCCTCCGAACCACCCAAGTCTGTTAATGATGCCATTTTATTGCTAAAGGGGATTTCACACCGGGCTGTCCTACGCTGGCCTACGTACATGTAACTAAACGCCGATGGACGCAACAAGATTAACATGTTTAATTTTATTGGCGTACTTTCGGCGTAGACACTAAAAGCAGAAAGTACGCCTTGTGACGCAAGTCTACGCAACACTACGCTACTGTACGCCATGCCTACGCAATAGTACGCTACCTTTTGCCAGTCCGACGAAGCAGTAAAAGCTTGCGCCCACAGTAAGCAGCCGTACGCCAGCCTACGCATAACCTACGTAGGGACTACGCCGAAGCAACATTTTTGTCATAAATACGCATCCTAATTTCGGCGTAGTTCGTACGCCACACTACGCAACTCTACGCACTCCGGTGTGGAAGGGGATACCATTCGTCGATTTTTGGTCGACTTTCAACACAATTCAGCCCCACCTCGTGATAAATAAGCTTACCGCTTTGAATGTAAAACCCTCTCTAGTCCAGTAGACGGTACCATATACCATGTACATGACCTGGAAAAGTTGATAAGTACAATTCATTTTTGTTGATTTGTGTTCTAGATGGGTATTGAAGTAAATTCAACTTGGTTGCCAGCTTGGCAACCTTGGGCAACTTTTTTTAATAGCCATATTAGCATAATCATCTAATTAGCATATGTGCAATATGTAATAATGTTGCTAATCTCAATCCTGGAAGCCTCAAAAACATGGATAATACGTCTTTTCAAGGGTTATATATGACAAGGAATTCATTTATAACACCAATTTTTATTTTTAAGTAATACAATTGTCTTAAATAGCATAATTAGCATAATAATGTACAATATAAGGACTTCATTGTCATTGTAAAGCCTAAACATGGTGCAATGCAACATTGTAAATCCCTTATGAAAGACCAATCATTAATTCATGAGACGATATTCCATGTATATGTAGTATAATTAGCCTAATTAGCATAATCATTTAATAAGCTTATATGTGCAGTATGTAATAATGTTGCTAATCTTAATCCAGGAAGCCTGAAAACATAGATAATGTGACTTTTCAAGGGTTTTTCATGAAGAGGAATTCATTTATGACAGCAATATTTATTTTTGAGTAATGCAATTGTCTTAAAAATAGCATGATGAGCTAATTAGCATATGTACGATATATGGAATTTATTGTCATTGTTTATCTATAAAGCCTAAAAATGGTGCAATGCAACATTGTAAATCACTTTTGAAAGACTACACATTAATACATTAGAAGATATTCCATGTAGATGTCGTATAATTAGCCTTATTAGCATATACACTGTATGTGCCTTATGTAATAATGTTGCTAATCTTAATCCAGGAAGACTGAAAACATGGATAATATGACTTTTCCGGCGTTTTCCATGACGAGGGATTAAGTTGAGACACCAGTTTTTATTTTTAAGTAATGTAATTGGCTTAATATGTACTAATTGTACTAATATGCCTAATTAGCATGTATGTAGAATATCAATTATTTGGGACTCTATTTAGCTTCACAAATTGTATGTCCAATGTGGTGGTTATCTTGGTCTTAAGGCAATGTTTTTGAACCTCATGAAATGTCTAGGAAATGACGGGGTCATCATACGCAGTGATGGTTAGGCTTCAGTCCTTGGATTTAGAGAGACTGTCGGAAACACACTGAAGATGGTTAAAGCAGATGATAATGAAGGAATTGATGATGTGGTGAGACAGGTACGTACATAGGCCAGGGATGTTGAATACAACGATGCGAACTATGATCTGTCTATGTTTACCAAAGCCAGAACCATTGAGAGTACAAGCCCGACGTTGCTCAAGCTGGTGGCAGAATTCCTGGAAAAGTCATATTATCCATGTTTTCAGGCTTCCCGGATTAAGATTAGCAACATTATTACACATTGCACATATATGCTTATTAGGCTAATTATACTACATCTACATGAAATATCTTCTCATGAATTAATGATTTTTCTTTCAAAAGTGATTTACAATGTTGCATTGCACCATTTTTAGGCTTTATAAATAAACAATGACAATGAAGTCCATATATTGTACACATGCTAATTAGCTCATTATGCTCATTGTGCTATTTAAGATAATTGCATTACTTGGAATCAAAAACTGGTGTCATAAATGAATTCCTCGTGATAGAAAACCCTTGAAAGTTGTATTATCCATGTTTTCAGGCTTCCTGGATTGAGATTAGTAACATTATTACATATTGCACATATATGCTAAATAGATTATTATGCTAATTAGGCTATTTATATTTCATATACATGGAATATCTTCTCATGAATTAATGATTAATCTTTCAAAAGTGATTTACAATGTTGCATTTTACCATGTTTAGGCTTTATAGATAAACAATGACAATGGAGTCCATATAGTGTACATATTATGCTAATGATGCTATTTAAGACAATTGTATTACTTAAAAATAAAAATTGGTGTCATAAATGAATTCCTTATCATAGAGAACTCTTGAAAAGTCGTATTATCCATGTTTTCAGGCTTCCTGGATTGAGATTAGCAACATTATTACATATTGCACATATGCTAAGTAGATGATTATGCTAATATGGCTATTAAAAAAAGTTGCCCGAGGTTGCCAAGCTGGCAACCAAGCTGAATTTACTTTAATACCCATCTAGAACACAAATCAACAAAAAAAAAACTTGTATTTAACAACTTTTCCGGGTCTGAAAAACTTCTACAGGACTACTCTGATACTCTGGCTTCATGATTTTCGAACGGGCAGAATTCAAAGAGTAAAACTACAAAATGTTTTGTATGATTTCGTTACTACGATCAAAGTTCCCCCCCCCCCCACCCAGGGTTAGGTGTTGTCAGCACCATTATTTATCATGTATACAAATGATTGTATCTCGTCACATGACAATGTCTCAATTGTTAGATATGCTTATGCCCCGGCTATCATGGGCATGATCTATATCAATGACGAACGCAAATATCGGGAGGAATTATTCATGTTTGAGAATTGGTGTGAAGAAAATTTCTTGGTATTAAACATATCTAAAACGAAATCCAGTCATGCTTAAAGGAGTGGATATACAGAGTGCCGAGAGTGTTATAGGTAATACAACGTTTTGATATGGGGTTATGAATTTGGTTCAAATGAACATATTGGAAGCATATGCGATCCTTCAATATTGAGTGATCATTGTCGCGGTTGAAATCGAGTCTAAAGTTATGAAATTGCAAAATATAAACTTTTTATGTTGTATAGCTCCCTCTCAAGGTAGAGAAATTAAGCTATAAAACAATGTTTCTTGACTAAAATCGACCGATTAGCTATTCCCGTTTGGAAATTATATATCACAACCACATATTCTTAGATTTTCATGGTCGCAGCTATCAGTGTACGGCCGTAGGCACTATTTGAAATTTATCCAAATTTACCGGGAGCACCGGTAAATTTTTACGTTCCATTTTTCTCGAAAGCAAAATGTTTTAGGGGCTAAAATTGTTAGTGCTTATAATACATCCGCAGGGGCATCCAAATATCAAATATATCAAAATTGTAAAGAATCCCTATCCACCCAATTTTCAAAATTTCCCAAAACTGTTTATTACCTAGTAAGTACCTTGGTACAATAATTGATAATGAACTATCATGGAAACATGAGACCAATGCCAATCTCTGTATGCAAAGGCTCAACAACGAATGTACTCTCTACGAAAACTGAATTCATTCCATGTTGACAGAACCATCCTGAGGTTATTCTACAAGTCAGTAATAGAAAGTGTAATGCTTTTTAGTTGTGCGGTCTGGTATGGTGGTTGCAGACAGGAGAATCTTAGGAAATTGTAGAGAATAGCCAATCATGCTGGCAAGATGACTGGCGAAGTGACAGATTTGAAACAGGAATGCGTTAATACAATTCTGAAACAGGTATCACAGATTTTGGAAAATGGTAATCACCCCCTTCATCCTTGCTATACCCTAATGGGATCGGGGAAGCGGTACAGATCAATGAAGGCTCGAACTTCACGATTCCCTAATTCCTACGTT